TTTATCATTATTTATTTATTTCTAATTTATATTAATGATTTTTATCATTTATTTTCCATTAATTTCTGTGCTTTAGGGTTGTCTACAAGCCGCCGCACAATGAAGCGCGTGTTGGCGTTCTCGAGCACTCTGCCGAGGCTGATATCGCTCGACCTCAGCGCCTGGGACTGCTTTCCCTCCTCTGTACCACGGCCACACCTCTCCTACACAATCCCATGTTCACACAGCTCACACGACACACGACACACGACACACGACACCACACGACACCACACGACACCACACGACACCACACGACACCACACGACACACGACACACGTACACTCAATCATTGTGTGCAGTTGATCGCATGTGTGCCATCAACAGTGCAGAGACTGAGCCTCAGCTGCACCTCCATCACTGACCAAGGCACGCCTTTGCATTACTGCCATTCCGCTAACAGTCGCCTCACACACACACACACACACCGCACAATGCGGCATACGGCCCACGCAGGATTGGCGCACCTGCCGGAGGGCCTGGTCACGCTGGATGTGAGCCACACGCACATCACGTCCAAGGGCTTTCGCCACTTGTCCCGCTTGAGCCAGCTGCGCGAACTCACTCTTTCCTCCATCGGCCCCGTGTGCGCCAGTTCGTTCTCCGTACGAATAGCCCCCAATGCGCGTGCAATATGAGTGTGTGCGGTGATGTACGTGTGCGTGTGCGGTGGTGCGTGTGCGGTGGTGTGCGTGCGTAGATGTGCGAGTCTGACGCCCGATTGTGGTGGGTTGCTTGCCCAGATGCTGCCGTCGTCGCTGGAGATGCTGGACATCTCGCACTGCAAGAAGGGCAACTTTGTTGACCAATTGAGTACCACCTCTCATGGTTGATCGTAGAGGCAACGTGAAGCAAAAACTCATCTTTGCTCTACGTGTACGTGGTGGAACATGATGGGCTGATGCAGAAGCGCGCGCTGATGACTTGGAGAGCAAGAGGCTGTACCACATCCCGTGGCCGGCCTCGCTCAAGCGACTGCGTCTCCAGGGCTACACTCTGGCCCTGGGCCTCCTCTACGGTACCTGTGTCACACACACCACACCACACCACACACACAACACACAACACACAACACACAACACACAACACACAACACACAACACACAACACAACACACACACACACCGTCATCGCCATAGCCACCCGCACTGGCTAACATGCATTCGACGATATTAGAGTTTCCGCCGCTGCTGGATATGTTGGACATCTCGTCGTGCGAGCTGCAGCCGCACACCGCAAATTTCGGCGCGTGCCTTCCGCACCTACGCCTGCTCATCGCCGACTACGCCAAGCTCCCCACCTTCCGCTCCCCGAGAAGTCACACCGACCGCCGCCCACCCCCCGGCCTCTGGTACGCATTTAAAAACTGTATTCTATTTTAAATTGATAAAATATGATAATGGATTATTTATTATTAAATATTACAATTTTAACAAAAATCAGGAGTTTGCCATCGGGCCTACAAGGGCTCCACTTGACAGCGTGCGCGGTGGGCAATCGATGGGACTTGCTGGCCTTCTTGCCCGCCTCGATCACCCACCTCAACCTGTCCTGCACCGACTTGGCCGAGGTTCGTCGCAGTGACTACTGGAGTCCTGCTTTCACCCATGTCTGATGCATCATTGTGTGTGTGTGTGTGTGTTGCGTGTGTGTGTGTGCGCGCGCGCGCGCGTGTTGCGTGTTGTGTGCTGTGTGCTGTGTGCTGTGTGCTGTGCTGAGCAGGATCAGTGTTCATTGGAGGCCCAAGGGTGGAGCGACCCGTTCATGAACACAATTTGCCAGAGACTGCCCAAGCTCCAGTACCTCAACCTGTGGTACCATCAGCAGAACTACTACTACTT